AAATAAGACTTATTTTCATGTTTTATTAATGTGTATGTTTTTGTTAATTAACTGGCAATACTCGCACACTTCTTTCAGAGGAATTCTATTTCAACTATGAAAAGAAAGCTAAACTATAATCGTGATATGTTAAATGCTAATGCATTGTTGCAATACAACTACTTTTCAACATGAATGCATGTTTTACACATAGATCAAAACACAACGATATTTAAATCTCTATTTCATAGAAAAATAAATATGCTAAGAAATAGACTTTGTCAGTTCTAAAATAAATTGGCAAAGGATTATATACGGTATACATAATTCGATCATAATTCATTAATTTAATGTTAATTTTCCATGAAAATATAAAACAATTAAAATTGCATTAATTGTATTTTTAGTCAAATCAAAATATTAAAATTTTCTTTCAAGCAATTAGCAACCTAGAACCAATTATGAATAAATGAAATATAAATGTAATAAAGATAACGACATATTTGCAATATAACGCAACATGTTTATAACACAATGGGGTTTTGAAAATAAACAATTGTGTTCATAAAAATGTCCTTCAAACACTAAGGACAGTATCACGTTTCAAAAAAGGGTATAATATATAGACTTTATAATAATAACTATAAAATTTACATCTTACTAAAGACGGAACGTGTAAGCATTAGATTATTCACATTTAGAAATGTTTTGCGTTAAGAGATTAATTGGAAATTATTCAGTGTGAAATCTTTCGTAGCAGAATATCGATTACTTTGGTTTAAATGCAGAGATCTGTTTCCAAATTGACTGTTATATGTCAGAAAATTAATCGAAAACAAATATCATATTGCCCCTTAAAACATATCAGTAGAATCAATAAAAATCTTTTTACGAACAGAAAAAAGCAACATAAAATTCCTAATAAAATGATAGAATTAGTTCGAAGTATACTACAATCATGGTGCAATTTTTATTCCAATAATACAAACCAAACCGAAGTGAAAACCCTCTGTAATCTGCTGTATGCTGAGACAATTTCCGCAATTAATTCCGCGTGGTCTGGTGTACTCAATATATTGTAATATATACTTTCATTGATATTGTGGTGAAAAGGTCACCATCGCATTACAAGTTGTGGAAAAAAGGTTTTTACATATCAATTTGACTTTATTGCTGACCGCTTGCTGAAACAAAGAGATAAAAAGAAGCACCTGATTAGGCTAAGATATAATTTATGTCAAACGCTTATTATTAAAACAAAGGTATATTTTTACTTCAATAAACACTTTCGTGAATTATTTTAACTTTTAACTGTAAATTATATATATTTATTGAAAAAAAATCTTTGTAATCAAAACACATAAATTGGAAATGGAATAAAACAAGCTCCTTTTTCAAACATTCCGAATAATGAGGAATAGGTGTAGAAAATTAAATTTATCTTAAAAGTATTTTTGATCATACGTTCTGTATATCTCCGCCTTTTGAAATATTTTAACCTAAAAATTAACGTTTAATTAAAGGTTTGTAACTTTATTCTTAAAGACGTTTTAACTAAACGTTACAAGTTGTGTCCATAAATTGTAAAAACCGCTGCTCTTTTTATCAATGGTATACATAGTTATTCAACTGCATCCAATTGTACAGGGTTACAATTTTAGGTAAAAACGTTTTAAACACAGCTACGCCAAAACAAAAATAAATACCCCTCCATTTTTATTCAAGAGGGTCATTTAGGTGATAATCTCTCTGAATTCTTGGTTTGCAATCAATAATTGTTGATACAACTGAAAGAAAATACTTCGAACTTGTTTTCAGATTTCAAACTAAACAATTTTAATATTTGTGTTGCCATAAAAATGCTTTTGTTGCCATAAAATACCTAAATGACGTATTTGATGTCAATGATATAACTGCCTTATCAGTGAACTCTGAGGATTGTTTTAAAACGTTTATTTTAAAAAGATATTTAATTGATCGACATTTACCTTTTCCCATCAACATTCAAGAGTGTTAGCATTATTTCACTAACCTAGATCAAGGAAAGAATTATTCTCTATCGCTCGCTGAGATAATTTCCGTTATTGTGGGCGTTAAAAGAGATGATATGGAAATGAATGAGAAGATACATTTAACAAGAAACTAGATCAATGCAATGGTATCACTATTAATATAGTTAGTCATATAAATATGATATTATTATACGTAATGTACTCCTCATATGCAATGAGTGACTGCTGTTTGAAATTCAAGGTAATCAAACACATAATTAATACCATGAAAATGTTCCATAAAAGAAAATGCTTACAAGATACATTGAAACAACCAACTGGCACTAATATTTTAAAAGGTGTATGAAGCACGAATGCATTGACAAAACGCTTCTTAAAGAGCTACTCGATCGTTTCTGGAATTACTCGAAGTTTCACATTTCAGTGTGCTTTTTGTTTTATATTAGCGAAAATTGTTTTATGTTTCTACTTGTTACATATAAACATAATACCGGTAGCTATTATAATTAGCATAATTCAAGTAAGCAAAGGTGAGTGTAAATATCCGACAGTGTCAGTTAATGCCAATCAGTACATTCTTATTTTCACGGAAGTTTGCAAACGATAACGATGTCATGAAATCATGGTTTTGTGATAAAATCTTATAAATGCAGACACGATTTGTACCGTATAGTGTTCTTAAATCTAGACATTTGATAAGACAGATACATAAATACTTGTATATTTGATCACAAGTAGTCTACATTTCAGAGATGCGTTAGTAAAAGAGTTAACTATTCAATACTTGTTTGAAGCTGAAGAATATGTGTGTTAAATAGTCAAATATGTAAACCGTAATGGTGTCAACCAAAGAAAAAATGAAAAGGTTGTAGACTTTGTCGGATTGAGCATGTTAATGGAGTAAATGCAAGCAACTGTCCACACTCCCTAGCACCGTTTACGCTGAATTCAACATGAAAATGATGACATTTTAAACTAAGAAACCTTCGCAGAATTGTTCATTTTTTTATAGAAAAAATAAACATTAACAAAACATATGAAAACAAAATGCTTGAAAAACCATCAATATAATTTGTTTACTTATTATATTGGGATTAGGCTTTTTTCTTCGAAATGTCATTATTTGTTGGTTTTTTTATACAATTGCAAGTTAAACTTCCATGATCAAGGCCGAATTCACACATCTGCGGCTGCTTTCTGAATTAATCACCAGTTCATAATATTGACTCCGGCTTTAAGCGGTGCCTGGGATGGTGTGGACAATAGCTTACATAAACCGCAACTGCCAGTTGATCAAAGCATTAAACAATTTCAGTTTTGTCATTTTAATACAATAAATGAATGACTTTGTCATATGACATTGTCTTATATTCAATCAATGCAAAAAAATATGTCTTGATCTGCACACAAATATAGTCATTTAATTTATATACTTAAACATCAAAATCTATGTTGGTTTATGTAATATTTAGGACGGCCCTTTAGTTTACTATTGCTATAAGTAATAAATCACAAACTGATGAAACGTCATGTTAATACGTGACGACATAATTGTATCTAAGTTTGTAAATGTTCGGTCATAGAACTTTACAATCATATTTTAACTTGTATACACGAACAAGTACGAAATATATGTTAAAGACTATCACATTAAGATCTTTCGTGACTGATAGGATGTGTAATGTCAGCTATATACTACCTGTCGTCTTAATTGAGTTAACTTATTGGGACAAATTTAAAATGTTGTAGAAGTTCATATCGGTGACATACTTATATAAGCAAGGGTAATGCCATAAACTTGCTATTTTCCTAAGTCAAATGACCTTACTTTGTGACCTGTATTATTGGTGTATCAGATGCTATGTTTATATCTTTGGCATTTCCATACTTTCCAGGTTTTAAATGAAAGTCCACGAGAAACAATGTGCTATATATAGTAACAGTTTTATTTTATCTTTTAAATTACTTAAATATTTGTGAACAAAACGAAACAAAAAGGCCAGTTCATTATTCATTACATATTTAATAATATTTTTATGTTAATATTAGATACTTGTATATATAAAAGGGAAATAAATATTGGATAAATCCTGCTGTAGAAATATTTCATTATGTCGCTTTGGATATTTTGTATTTGTATCACTTTGCGATATCGTTTATGTGTATATATAAATGAGATGTGGCAAAAGATATATTTGTCCGAAAATTATTTAAGCCGGCGATCCTATCTATATAGGATAATGTCTCTTCATGTTTGATACTAGTAGCCCATTTTCGTTAAATATAAGACATCTGCAGTATATGAAAAGCATAGAGAGAACAGAAGCACTGGGAATTGAATTGTAAACGGTGTACAATGTTTGAGATGTATAACGTTAAAACTGCTTTAGTACCACACAAAAGTTTGTTAATTAATAACTCAGTATCAGCTTAGCCTAAAGAAAACTGTTTTTCTTGCATATCAGACAGGATTATCTACCGTTTACACCCCCGGTGCTAGAAAAACCTGTCTTACACGAGTCTCGTGCTTTAAATGAAGTTATTACCACGAGCCTTTTTTGAATAAATTGCGTTCTTAGAACGACTTCATTTCGCCGTAATGAATGAAGTTGTTAAATCATACGTTACTATGAGAAAAAAAGTGCTAAATGAAAATATTAGTTTTCGTAATTTCTTTTTGAAATATGATTACTATGTTATATGCAAGAATAAGAATCAAACACCAGCTGTCATAACAGACCGAAAAATCATCTATCTTTCGTTTAAGTGTTTAGCGGAAACTCGACTAAGCCTCGTTACTGCCGTAAACAGTTACGCTCGAGCTATATATTCCGACATGTACCGGTAGCCCGTGTAAGATCTTTATAGTCTACAGAATAATTCGGAAAAGTCAGAGTTGGCCAAATTAAGAACCGATAACGCTTCATTATTATAATACTATATATCGTTCTATAACACCTAAATATGGTTTCGAAAGTTGACCTTATTCTGTGTTATCTGTTGCCTGGAGGTGAAGTTACACGTATAAAAGGAATTCAAGGTTCCCCTATTTTCTTTACGAAGGAGAGATTCAATAGACGGAATGAAAGTGCTCGTTCTGTTGTCGATTTTCGGACTAGCTGTGGCCGAGCCGCTTGTGGCCGAGGTGAGAACATTAAATCAATTAGAAAAAAATAGTGAGAAACGTGATGTTTGTGCACGTATATAAATATTCGTGACTCAGAGCGTCGGTAGTCGTAAAAAACATGAGATTTTTTTTATAATATACGAAAAACAAACAGCGAAACGCGAATTGACCCAATTAGACAAGAATAGGGCAACGTTTGTCGTGCATTTAAATCTTCAAAAGCCCTCGGACTTATTTAATCCCTCAGCTAACGAGCTTTAAATAAACGTCCTTGTACTTCAGCAGATGCAAATGCACGAAAAAAGTCCCTTTAACCCCCTAATATGTTATATTGCACACAATAATATAAAAGTTGAAAGCTTTGCATATTGGTATTTTTGTTTTTAATATTCATACCTGAATAGTTAACTGAATATCATACCTGCCTGAATAATTACTTATAGTAATTAATTATTCATGTAAGAATATTCAAAACAAAATAATGAATATAATGTTATATTGCATAGTCATAATAATTAACAATATATTCCTACCTGAATTATTACTTGTAGTTAATTATTCAGTTATGAATATTCAAGCAAATAAATGTATTTATTGTCTTGAACGTTTTCTACCGATAAATGGATGTATATGCATGCATAGATATATCTTGATAACTAATCGCTCACATCTGATTTACCTTGCCCGTCTTCAATTTCAATATATGATTCATATGTTTTCTTTTTATCCTTTTCAGCCCGTACCAGAAGCCGTATATGGAGGTTAGTTTTTTTTAACATTTTATCATTATAAATTGTCAAAAATGAAATACATTTTGTATTTAAATGTATGTAAAATAAATCTGGTAGCTGCTATTTATCACTAAAAATATTCCTTTATGATTCCCCGACCCATACTTATCATTTAGACATGGAGAATAAATGTAGTCTTCCTTATTGTTAGGGGCCGAAAGAAAAAAAAATTTTCATTATTTATTGATAACATTTTTACCATTTGTTGGTGAAGGGTGATATACTTTTTCGCGTTGTTCTAAAGATGGATATTAAATAAGTATAAGTTTGAAACTATACGAAGATGCAAAAGAAAGTGTGCATTTACTTGGAAATTCTTACTAATTCTTAGTTATACTAACTTAAGTAAAATATTAGCAAATTTGATATCGAAATAAGTAGAAATGTATTAACCCATACAATGTTTTACTTTGTAATAAAATTTTATAATTGTCAGATTGCTGCTTCGTGTAAACAACAAAAGGGCGAAAAGTAAAAGTTGCAGAGTTGTGACTTTTTAACGTTTCTTTGTCCAATTAAAAAAGTTAATGAGTATCTGTTGCGTCAATAACTCAAATGGATATAAATTAAAGTATTCGATACTATCGGAACTGACCTAACATCATATGGATTTGGTATTGAATTATTTTCCATTAAAAAATTGAAGTATCCAAAAGCATAAACGTATTAACAAAAAGCACAATTCTTCAACTTTATTTTCACGGCTTAGCTGCTCACACGTAGTCAAAATTTTGATTGTTTTCAAATTTCAATATAATATAAACCTTTATATATTCAATCAATTCTGCAAATATTAGAATCAATTATGCTTTTCAATATGTTGCTTTCAAATGTATACAAAATATCCCTGTAACCAAATGCAAACTGGGTACAATATCCAAAATTAATGAAACCTTTCAAAATTGTATGAAGTTGCAAATGAAGAAAAATATATTTAAATATCAAACACTCATGATAAAATGGATCAGAATGCAAAAGGATTAAACAGTATTGAAAACAGATTATAGAGCTGAAAGTGTTCTCTTTTCTTTAAAACATCCTCGACTACATTTGAACCGATGTTTTTGACCTTTTTAAATTCTACCTTATTTTCCACTGAACTCTAAGGGAAATGGAAAAATAACATTAAAACTCCTACGAAATTAAAATCACAAACTTAAAAAAGCTAGAAGAGTTATGTTGATTTAACAATTTATTAGATTTTAACTGTTAATATGTTGCCACTGAAAGCGAATAGACTTTATTACCAGTAAAGGACCTGGCCTGTCTGCACGAGGATGATTCTATCATTCTTTATATTTATTTATATATTTTTATATTGAATTCTCTTAAAATCGTACGAATTAAAAATTCAAAAACTGGGCAAACCATTGAACAAATTTAGCAAGTAAAGAGTAAAATCTTCATAATGTTCATCAAATTTTTCACTTTGTTAGTGCATGTACTTATACAAAGTCACGCTGTCGTATTTTATTTTATAAAAGAGATACGATTTTATAATTTCAGCTCGTAAATCTAGACCAAATCAGTCAAATTTTTAAAAAATGCTTCTTGAGACAACAACATTTCTAGTTATTCATAATTCTGGTTACTTGATCTTACATTATGAATATACAGTATAATTTCAAACATATATTTTCTATTTAGTTATAACCGTTCTCATATTGAAAATAGTTTATCAATATAAAATGTAATACAAAGTTTGAAACAAAGGCAGAACAGGTGACTGAACTATTGAACTGTATAAGACATCACTTAAAAACAAAAAAAAAACGTTCTGATACTATCACGCCAGTGCCTAGTATAGAAACATGAACTTAATCATTTCACGAAATAGAGATAACGAACTAGGCCTTACATTGATAACGAATGTGGAAAAATAGCAGAACCTACAGCGGTCATGAACAAATATATACTATATACATGTATAAATATTTGCCATATACACATATATAGGTGAATGAATGATAAAAATTATATGAGCCGCGTCTGACAAAACCAACATAGTGGGTTTGCGACCAGCATGGATCCAGACCAGCCTGCGCATCCGCGTAGTCTGATCAGGATCCATGCTGTTCGCTTACCAACTCTATTACAAGTAGAGAAACTGATAGCGAACTGCATGGATCCTGATCAGACTGCGCGGATGCGCAGGCTGGTCTGGATCCATGCTGGTCGCAAACGCACTATGTTGGTTTTGTCGTGACGCGGCTCATTTAAGAAAAATATGATAATTCTGGTGATATAATAAAGCTTACTTAATGCAACAATTCTGTTTTTTGTTTCATTTCTACATATTTTAAAGAAACGCATTAGTTGTTCTTTATTTAGTAATTTGAATTATTTGCATTATTTACACATTCTAAATATGGATCATTTTTCATACATTTTTGTTCCATATAATTTTCATTATTTCTATTTTTTACATTATTCGTGCAGTATCTATTGCATTCTGTGGCTTTACATTACTTGTACCATTTGCAGTTTTTGTATTATTTTCGCAAATTTAATTTTTTCATAACTTAACATAGCACAACTTTTATAGTTACAGCATACGTAGAATTTTCTGCATTATTTAGCACTAATTGAATAGCATCATGTTCATCAATTGCATAGTTTTGAAATTTACTTTTTAGTATCATTTACCTTATTTGTTCTAACGGTATCAAATGCTTTCATTGTTTTACTTATGTTATTTCCACTTTTATAACATTGTATTATTTGCAATGTTTGCATTGATCGTATAACTTGCATTATTTGTACTTATTACATATTTTGTATATATTGTTCAAACTGGTGTATTACCTTGCATTGCTTGTATTACTTTGCATCTCATGTAATTGTATTATTTACATCATTTGCGTAATTTTGTATTATTTTGTATTATTTTAGAGGAAGCTTATGATAATCCCGAGGAGAATTCGGGTCTTTTCGAGGGTGATATTGACCTCCTGCCCGGAGAAAACCCAATGGTGAGTTTCCGCATATTCTTTTTTATTCGGTATTCTTGTGTTTTTTTTTTTCATATCTCATGCACGTCGATTGGGAATTATATCTATATTCAGTTCATGATCATGTAGAAATACCGAACGTTAGAATTAAAGAAACAGTTTACCAAACTTTGGGTAAATAAGTCAGCTCCCAAACTCAACCCCACGGGTTCTGTGTACTTTAAGTTTGTGGGATGGTAAATTACTTTAATGCAGGGTGAAACTTTTAAGTTGTGTTCTTTTTAAAAAACATCTTCTACAACGTCTTCTGCGCTAAGAGACTGTTTTTTAGTAATTAGAGTACAACTCACATAAAAACGTAAAAATTCCATTTAACGTGTGAAATGCAAGTTGTGTTTGAAACTTTACTCAATATTTGACGAAATAATTGTTTAAACTGATTTACAGTTGTATTTCTTTGTGGGAAGTATACAATTTTTGTTTACTTTTTGTATTTAAGCACAGAAATGCTATTGCCGATAGAAGAAGGAGATGGGCCAATGGTATTGTGCCATACGAAATCCAATCATCATATCGTAAGTAATGTAATTAGTTTCATTTGAGTGTTGAGAAATTGTTTAATCTGCGTCAAGATAAGCAATAGTATATAACGAACCAGAGTGTTCCTTTCTGTCTGTCAACAGACAAAAAGCATACGCGACTATGAATCTTTGAAAGTAACTTCTTCACGTTAGATCATTCTCACAAGAAGCTCCATTTTGACGTTGTAGTACACACTTGATAATGTTGTCTAAATCAAACGTTCATCATTACAAAAACATTCTTTTGTATTCATCATCGCCATCGCTATAGTCAAGCATTATTAAAACAACAATTTTATCATCTTCTTCTTCCTGATCATGTTCGTCGCCACCGCCGCCTCTTTCATCTCCTCCTTCCCATCCCCCTTCTCATTATCATTATCACCAGGATCTTTTCGTCTTTTCTAACGTCATCATTATAATTCGTGACTATCATTGCTCCACCTCCTTTTCATCGTCATGATTGTCGTCATCCAATAGACCAAGATAAGATCATATTGTATTTCATATTTCAGCTGAAACCGTTAAAAACATCTTTCATCAAGCTATGAATGAGATTGAAACGAGGACAAAGGTCAACGGAAAGACATGTATTCACTTTAAACCTCATGCAGGCGAAAAAGGTTTCGTCAAATTTGTAACAGGAACCGGGTTAGTATCATTTGACACACATTTTCTTTTTCTTTTTGCAAATTTATGAAGATTGAATGTACAATATTTAATTCGTAATTTCACATCACATTAAGAAAATCATTTAAATATAATTTATAAAACAAAAAGATCTGGTACATATATAATCTATGTGGTAGTTTAAAATGACGCCATGAATGTTCATTAACAGTATATTTGCAAATGCAAAATATATATGTTTATATATCTTTTATGTAAAGAGGCTAATATTTGCTTATATGGACATGTTAAAGGTGCCACACACCAGTTGGTTATATTGGACGTCAGTCAAGTGTTACTATTGGACATGGATGTGAACGCAAAGGAACAGTAATGCACGAGCTTTTGCACGCGCTCGGATTTTGGCATGAGCAGAGCAGAACAGACAGAGATAACTATGTTACAATCGATTTCAGTAATATTCAGAAAGGTATGCTTATATTATATGTCGTTTTCATTGATTCCCAAATCAGGCTGAAAGAATATAATATAGCATATTTTGATAATTGGGGGTACATGCATATAAGAGTCACCCGGTGGTCAGTCGGTCGGTCTGCCGGTCCAGCGGTCCGTTGCATTTTCCGTGTCCGGAGCATAACTTGAAGAATAATGGTTAGAATTAAGTACAACTACATACAATGATCAAGCACTTTGAGAGGACGTGCAGTGCACAAGAATCATAACTCTGTCTTGACTTATTACAGAGCTATTGTCCTTTGTTACTTTTCCTGTTCGTAGCATAACTTGAAAATTACTGGTTAGAATTTAAAACAACTCGAAAAACTGGTCAAGGAAGTGCTATTCACAAGAATCATTACTCTTTCTAAAGTAATTCAGAGTTATTGCCCTTTGTTACTTTTCCATGTGTTTTGTCCGGAGCATAACTTGAGGACTAATAATTGGAATTTCAAAACAACTTCATACAATTATCAAATACATTTAGAGAAAGTGCAGTGCATAATAACCATTACTCTATCTTGAGTTATTTCAAAGTTATTGTCCTTTATACCTTTCCTTGTCCGGAGCATAACTTGAACATTTATTGTCAGAATTTCAATACATTTCGTACAATGGACAAGTATGTTGAGTGGAATCACAGTACACAGAAATTATAACTCTTTCCTGACTCCTTTACGTGTGTTTGCCCTTTGTTATTTTCTATTGTCCAGTTCATAACTTAAAAAATGGTTGAAATTCAATAACACTTCATACAATGGTAAGGGCAGTAATATTAAGTGCAGTGAACAATAACCATTACCATTTTGACTAACTTCATAGTAAATTCCCTTTGTTACTTTTTGTGTTCAGTGCATAACTTGGCAACTAGTATTTTGAATTCAATCCAACTTCATACAATGGTCAAGTGCCGTGAGAGGAAGTGCTGTGTACAATAATCATAACTCCTCCTTCAGTGCAGTGCTCAAAAAGCGTTATTCTTTCTGGACTAATTAAAGAATAATTCAATAAAACTTCATAATAGTCAACCAAAGTGAAAGGAAATGCAACATACAAAAACCACAACTTTCTTTAAATGCTCTATTTCAATTCTTTTACAAGGTATTCTGTTACTAGTAACTTTATTCTGTTACTAGTAACTTCCTCATTTCCGAAGCAGTCTTGCGGGGTTATTATATTTAATGATAGTTCCAGATTTTTTCTTTAATAAGATAATTTCCAAACTGATCAGCTATTTAATTTCTGCTTTCGCACGAATAATTTTACACGCCTGGGCCTGTCTTTAAAACATTATGTTACAGTAAGCAACGGGCATTTCTTTAACTGTAATGTGTATATGTAAGGTTTTATGATTTATATATTGGCAAACTTTTGTTCCAATATTTCAGGACATGAAGGAAATTTCAACAAATACCCAGTTGGTTATATCGATATGTTGGGACAACCCTACGACTATGGAAGTATCATGCACTACAGCGCATATGCATTTGCTATTGACCGTTCAAGGAAAACCATTACTCCAAAACAGTCTGGAGTGACTATTGGTCAGAGAGTCCGGCTTAGTGATACAGATGTCAAAGAAATTCAACTTCTCTACGACTGTATTCAAAGTACCAGCGGAAGTCAAGTGACTGGATTTGTCACAGCCCCACCAATCACAACTGCAAGACCTCCAACAGGCTGTAAGACATTAAATCTAAAAAAAATGCTCGTTTTCTTGCCACCTTTTTCCCACCAAATAAGCCAAAAAACACATATTTTGTTTTTGACATTATTATAGGCGGGAATTGAATAGTTCTTATATTTTCATTTTTGCAACAGAACTATAATCTATAAATATAAAGTGCAAATAGTCCATTTAAAGGCTATTTGAGCCTCTCACAAATACCGTTATGTTTATTTCTCCAAAGGAATTTATTTTTGGGGACTTATTAATAGTTCGAAAACGTACTCATTAGCTAAATAACTGAGCACTCTAGCTACGTTTGCATTTTTGTTTTCAATATGTTTAGTTGTGAATTAAAAATTGTGTATGGAAGTCAAAATACCGCTTTCAGTAATTTTTGCTTTTTGACAAAATCTTTGCAATCAGCACTGTTTCATTAAGGTTATAGGCGTTTTACTACTTTTTATCCATTATAACAACATTTTTTAAAAAAAACACGTTTGCCCCTTTTACAGAACAAAGAGTGTATTCACTTCTGAGATTTAGTTTGCCTCTATATGCTACCAAATAATAAGAATTATTATAAATGTATAACATAACAATATGTAATACTATAAATATAAATTTATGAACAAACGAAACAAACAGAATGTAACGCATATTCTGTATTAATATGGTTTGTTTTTTTCTTCAGTCATAATAAGTTAAATAAGACATATACATGTTATATACAGCTGACGTGTGTACCTTCCAACATAACTTCTGTCACTGGACGGAGCCACACTCAGATCAGAACAAGTGGGTTAGACATAAGGGTACTACACCAAGCTCGCATACAGGGCCAACAAACGACGCTCATGGTTCTTCTACAGGTAAAAAAGTCACAACACAAAAATTAACTTTTTTTATATGAAGCGGTTTTAGATTGAACATATTACTCCCGTTGTTTGATTTTTTTACAATGAGAATTTCAGATTAATTACAAAAAAAAAAATTAATTACAAAAAAAATATGCAACTTTATTTTATGCTTTTCAGTGGATTACTGATTTATCCGTGAAAATTATATTTGGTAATTTCACAGTGAAAATTATCAAAATATAATTTCACTCTTTTCAATGACGAAACTACTTTTTTAAGATTTTCCCCATGTGGTACCTCAATTTTATTTTTGCTGACAATTCTGACAATGTCAGGCTGTTTAAAGAAAAAGCAAAACTGAAATTGATAAATAACTTAAATGTCAAAAGTAATAAAAAGAAGAAAACTTACTTCTATTCATTCAAATTCATGAAATTCCAATCACCAAATTTCGTTTTTTTGTTTCATTTTGACAGTATCAAAAATACATTCCTTCCCCATGCAAAACTGCTCTTGATGACATTTGGGCATATTAAAGTATCCTACGAGCAATAACTGCCGTATGCTTTATGAAAAATTGAAAGCATTGACAGCCATAACTCGAAGAATAAGTTAAATCAACCCAGCGTTCTTGAGCAGGTTTCCAAGTTTTCCATTTTCCTAGCTCCTTTTCTGAATGTTTTCACATCTGTCAACACTTATTTTTTGTCTGTTACAATCCTCAAATAAGTTTTCTTTCTTTTAAAAATGTGTATGACTAACAAATCCAAATTATATCCCTCTGAATCTTACACAATTATTTTCCTCCCATGAAATACACAACTTTAAAAAATGGCTGCCGCTTACAATTTACAAAGCCAGGTCTAATATAAATTCGCACTAAGTAACAGAAATATGGATGGATGGTTGGACCTTTTCTGCTACAAGAATTGTTTGTTTTTATTATCAAAACAAGCGATCATTCATATTTTTTTAATAAAATTAATAAATATCACCGTCATTTAATGTTGATTGGCGGACTTATTTTTCAGCTCAAGACTTCTTTTTTTTAATGAGAAATTCCGAATAAATGGGGCTCTCAATGGGGGAAACAGTTTTAATATTAACGTTAAAATTATGGAAATTTCGTTTTAACTTGTTTTTAAGCATAAAATAAAAAGAAAATTTGTCTGTTTGTTGTGTAAGATGTAATTTTATTTCATCTCGTGAACTTTAAAAACAGTATTCTCACTCGTGGCTTCGCCACTCGTGAGAATACTGTTTTTAAAGCCCACTCGATGAAATAAAATTTCATCTTACACACAAACAAACAAATATCCTCTATATAATACTACATTTTACGGGAAAAAAGCATATTGTACTAAAAATACATTGTACTAAATATTTAGAAAACAAGGCATAAAAAGTTTTTTTTAAAGAAAACATAGCACTAAACATGTATGTTGAAATATTTCAGGAAATACAAAATTTAATTCTGATACTACATTTTTATGGAAATTTAGCATAACAGTAGTTATAAGATTTCTATATTGTAAGAAACACACAATGTTGACTATTTCTAGGTTATTACATTTACGTTGAGGCGTCGGGACACAAGAGCCAAGTTTCAAAGATCGATTCCAAGTTGTTCGCCGGCGGTGATTATTGTGTTGATTTCTACTATAACATGTACGGTTCCGACATGGGCTACCTCCGTCTCAATGTTATTGCTGGCACACATATGTACCATCTTAAACAATGGAGCGGTAACCACGGAGATCATTGGGTACACCAGAAAATGAACGCTCACATTCACACTTCCGGTACATTCAAGGTATGGTAAATTGTATACGTGTTATTTTTACGACAAAATTTACATGCAACCTGTAAAATAAATGTCACGATTCATACTGAGTAATTCTACACTGTATATTCTGATTTGAAAATGTCAAAATCGTTCCATTTCACATATTCATAAGTAGTCTAGAGTTCCTTCCCCTTACACTAGTTCCGTAGTAAATGTAGACAGGGAAACAGAATAATTCATAAGAGGCCGTTACACTAAAAGTATGATGCATTAATAATTTCATTGTGGCTGGGTAATAATAATTTTGCAAATATTTCATACAATAGGGACATAATGTTACTAGTTCTCTATGTGAAACATTAACTTTTAATGCACATTTTCATATGTGATAATGAAGAGGCAATACCAAGATATTATTAATGTGATGATACCATAAAATTTAACCAGGTTTATTTGTTGAAATTGTCAGCTTTAAACTATGAATTGTATATTGTTTGTTCAAATGATACAACATATCAAAACAAAGCCGTGAAAATTAACATGTATGTAGTTTTTCCAGAATACAGGGGTATGCTAGTATTGTCTGGGTCCTTTTACGACTTTGTCATATTGTTTTCGTCGTTGATGTTCAGGGTGTAAAGAACAACAATGTGTACTGATAATGATTAATATTTATACATTTTATGTAAGAATGAACTATATCATCAGGGTTCTTGAACATGTAAAAATTATATTATTATTTATGAAAGTATGCTAAAACTGAATTTACAAAATAGCAAAACAAAAAATTTGAATTTCCAGAATTCTGAACGCAATTGAGGTGTCATGGGGCATTATCTGTTTATTTTCAGTTCGAATTTGAAGCGCACACCGGAAACAGCTACCACAGTGATATTGCTCTTGATGACATCATTATACATCCGGGCAACTGTTAACAAAGTCACGTGCTCGTCAGCAGTTAGTTTGTAATGTAAAACAGTATAGTTTAATGTTAAATAATTGAATAAACTACTAACTCATAGTACTTGTTTGCGAAATGATTGATCGTGTATCATACTGTTTGCAGAATATTTGTGCATACGTTGATAATACATTATAAGAATCTTACGCTGGCTGCCGGTACAGACCGGAATATCTAGCTCGAGGGTAACTGTTAACGGCGGTAACGAGGCTCTGCCGAGTTTCCGCTTTAAACAGTTAAACGGTAGATAATCCTGTCTGATATGCAAGAATATAAGAATCTTACACCGGCTGCCGGTACAGACCGGAATATCTAGCTCAAGAGTAACTGTTTACAGCGTTAACGATTATGGTTCAAATCATATTACCCACTGGCTTGTATCAAAGCATTCACCAAATCAACTTGTTTATTCTGGACAGAAAATTGTCATTCTTGATAACTCGCAAAGTTCTGAGAAAATACTAGAAGCAGATATACATAAATTTTCACCTATATTCGACCAAAGGTTTAAAGGGACACAGGATTTAAAATATTTGCATCACGCCTTCATGTATCATTAACGTAAAAACATTCATTTAAATAAAACACCAAAGAAAACGAAACGAAGACATGTTTTAAAAAGAACAATAATTTTACTTTACGTTATCAAAATGAATCATTTAAATAAAACGATTTAAAACAAAGTGCATTTTTTAACAATTTCCGAATGAATCCTTTCATTTTCTACCACTTTTAATACCAAAGCAAGTGAGAACAGCGCGATAGGCGCTAGTGAAAAATCCTTTCTTTATTTTCTTCTTGTTTGCTAACTCATTTCTTATATTATCTTGGAGTAACTTCTCACTGATTTGCCGAATGCTAGTAGCTTGTGACTTTGAGCAGATATTTGTAAATTTGCTCATGTCTAGGTTACCATGTTTAGTAGATTTCACAGTTTGGTCACCTGACGTCGGCTGCTTTGCGGGTTGGCACTGGATGTCGTCTGCTTCTCGATTGTCCCTGTTTAACATTCCAAATATAAAACGACTTTTATAAAAATGCAATATAAATGTTAAGAAAATTTGCATCATAAATTATGACATGCTAAATATTTAAGAATAAAAAAATCATTGGTAAAACATTTTTCTTAATCTTCAACAGAAAAGTGTTCATTTCAAATATACACATGAAAATAAATGATTGTCAATATTTGACACTATGAGCTAGACAAAGAAAAATGTATATCTTTGCAAGAGTACATACCTTTTTAACTTCGGTTGGCAGTTTGATAAAACATCTTCTGACACTTTTGTATCATTCCGTTGAGAAGCGGGTACTTTGGAAGTTTTTCTTTCATTTCTGTTTCTATGTTGATTGTAGTCATAATAATCGTCAAGATAAATCTTTAACTCTGGAAGAAATAGACGATTTAAAAAGCATAATGCAACGTTAGATTTATAATTTACTCCACACGTGATTATACTAAATGTGAAAATGCATTGCTTGCAAAGAATTGCCAGTTACACAATTGGCATATAAATCTCTCTTGTAACTTTTTCCATTTTGTAAAAGCTTTGAAATCAGGTTCGATAATAAAATATCATTACAATGCCATACATGGCAAAACACTTTAACAAGTTTGATATAAGTCACTACTAATCTTTTCAAACTAGCAGTTATGAGAAGTTGTCTTAAGTGTCTTAATATTTTTTTAACTTCCCGAAAACCTGTACGTAGTACATTGTCAAAATTAGTTATTTAAATTGATTTACCATAAGCAGACTGGTTTCTTATTTCAGCTCTAGAGTTATTATGTCCGTGTGTTCGTCTTTTGCGCTGTGCAGCTTGATCATGTTTTTGTGACATCGACCTCCTCTGACCTTGTGGTGGTAAAGCGCTCTTACTTCGCCTTTTCTTCTGTGAGGTCTTATCATCTGTTGCTAATGTAACAAAAAACAGAATGTAAAAATCTAGTGAACAACTTTATGATGCTGCAATGTTCTATTTGATGTACCTCGTTGATGGGAGGGAACCGAACATTTGTTATTACTTTAACGCAAATTATCACTTAAATGTTATCAAGTTTTATAACATCAGCTGAAGTTTCCTTTTTAAAATGTACAATAAAATTCTCTTAATTAAGAATTTGATACACAATCTAGACCGGACCAATTATGAGAATTTTTTTTAATCTTACCTTTTCTTCGATTTGTCAATTTTCTTTGGGAATCGTGTCTTTTATTTGTGTCACATAAAGACTTTGCCCTTTTTGATGAACAAACTTTGTTCGTTTTTGAGTGAGCTTTGTAATCGTTTCTTGTTAATCTGTTCATAATTCACTGTAACAAAATTTTTGTACTCAGTTATTGTGCTCACAACAAATCAATTTACTCAACATATTTGATTTATTTGAAATATTGTTGTCTGAATAAGAACAGAAAACATAGTATCATTTTTTCAAAACTACAAATTGAAAGTGGTAGGGGAAATTGTTGTTACGGTGTAATTGTCTAAACCTTTGTAGGTCCAAGTCATACTGGAGTCATAACCATGCGAGGAAGCGGACTTTGAGAATGGATCAATTAATATTTTATCACAAGCGAGCTAAAATTAATATGATAATTATAACTTAATTAGTTGTGTAACATTTTGAAACACTTTACTGACCATAACATTCGGTTAAACGAATTAATAAAGCAATTAAAAATAATGATAATAAAAAAACGCATCCACATACCTTTATGTGTTGATATCTGATGTTGCGGAACGTCGTTTCTATGACAAGTTACGTCAGCAAAATTTGATTATGATTACGTCATAATTACGTTACTGACGTGATGGAAGTAAAGCATAATGGGCCATCTATTTATCAATTTTCTTAATCGTTTATCATAATTGCACTTAGCATTATGGCATTACCGACATTTAATTTAATCTGAATCATTCAGTTTTCTTGCATAGGTTCAAAGAAATTTGTATGAATTTAAATATTTGTAAATCGTACACATAATTATGTAAATTACAATGTATGTTTTTAACGTTAAAAAACTCGGAAAATTTATAACCGCGATAGCACTGATTGACAAATTTGAATACAAAAGTCAAAGTGGTTAAAGTTTGCCACCAATAGAGCTGCACTTCAATAGAAAACTTACTCCTTCTGAAGAAAAATGACCCGCGTAAAGTCATATGATATACTGACACCAATCTGCTCTATTTCAAATGGTCTGTTAACGATTGGCAGATTCTGTTGCTATAGGCAAGACACACAAACATTGTTCATGCAGTAAACATAACTCACTACGTGGACAAGACACATTGGACACAATTCATTCAGTGATCATAACTCTCACATGGACAAAACACACTGAAAAGTATCATGCTGTGAACATAACTCAGTTCATTGAAAAGACACATTGGACACAATTCCTTCAGTGCACATATATAGCTCACGCATGAACAAAACATACTGAACACTTTTCATGCAGTGAACATAACTCACTACACGGAACTTTATTCATGCAGTGAACATAACTCACTACACAGACAAGACACACTGAACACTTTTCATACAGTGAACGTTACTCACTGTATGGACAAGGCACACTGGACATTATTCATACAGTGAACATAACTAACTACATGGACAAGACACACTGGACATTATCCATACAGTGAACATAACTCACTACATGGACAAGACACACTGGACATTATTCACGCAGTAAACATAACTCACTACACATACAAGACACACTGAACACTATTCACGCAGTAAACATAACTCACTACATCGACAAGACACACTGAACACTATTCACGCAGTAAACATAACTCACTACACATACAAGACATACTGAACACTATTCATACAGTGAACATAACTCACTTACATGGACAAGACACACTGAACACTATTAATTCAGTAAATATGACTCACTACATGGACAAGACACACTGAACACTATTCACGCAGCGAACATAACTTACTGCAATGACAAGACGCATTGAACACTATTCATGCAGTGAACATAACCCGCTAGGTGGACAAGACACACTGAACACTATTCATACAGTGACCATTACTCACTACAAAGACAAGACACACTGAACACTATTCATACAGTGAACATAACTCACTACAAAGACAAGACACACTGAACACTATTAATTCAGTGATCATAACTCACTACAAAGACAAGACACACTGAACACTATTCATTCAGTGAACATAACTCACTACATGGACAAAACAAACTGAACACTATTCATGCAGTAAACATAAATCACTATATGTATAAGACACAATGGAAACTATTCATACAGTGAACGTAACTCACTACATGGACAAGACACACTCACTATTCATGCAGTAAACATAAATCACTATATGTATAAGACACACTTAACACTATTCATGCAGTGAACATAACTCAATACATGGACAAGACACTCTGAACACTATTCATGCAGGGAACATAACTCAATACATGGACAAGACACACTGAACAATATTCATACAGTGAACGTAACTCACTACATGGACAAGACACACTGGACACTATTCATGCAGGGAACATAACTCAATACATGGACAAGACACACTGAACACTATTCATGCAGTGAACATAACTCAATACATGGATCAGACACACTGAACACTATTCATGCAGTGAACGTAACTCAATACATGGACAAGACACACTGAACACTATCATGCAGTGAACATAACACACGTCATGGACAATTATTCATTCAGTGAACATAACTCACTACACGGACAAGACACACTGAACACTATTCGTGCAGTGAACGTAACTCAATACATGGACAAGACACACTGAACACTATCATGCAGTGAACATAACTCACGTCATGGACAAGTATTCATTCAGTGAACATAACTCACTACACGGACAAGACACACTGAAAACTATTCATGCAGTGAACATAACTCACTACACGGACAAGACACACTGAAAACTATTCATGCAGTGAACATAACTCACTTCACGGACAAGACACACTGAACACTATTCATGCAGTGAACATAACTCAATACATGGATCAGACACACTGAA